AGCGTGTGCTTGAGTTTAACATTAAGAGTCATTGCAATTATTTACAGTCACGGACATATTTCGTGATGATTTTTAGCAAATTTAAATACATTAATGCAATCTAGAAAACACAATGAAAATACACTTGAAATATTGCAGAATAAAATCACGAATGGAAATAAATAAAAACCAATCAATATTATTTAACCGACGTGTTTGCTTATGTGGCATTTTAGTGTGCAACACAAATGCACCTGCTTAATGTCTGCAATAATAATTGAAGGATGCAGTGTATCTAAGAATTAACTTAGCTAATGACCATTGGACAAAAATAGCTTTGGTAGGAGGAAAACATGAAAGCCAGACTCGGCCTTAAAATAGCACTTGATAAAAGACAGAACTTCATTTGCTGTGGCTTTTTGAGTTGGATGATCTATTTATCTAAAAAAGAACTTAGTGCGGTAAAGGAAATGAAGGAATCCAAGATTTGATAACGTAATTGTTACGTTCATTAGCATCAACTTGGATGGGCATATTGACCAGACAGACCACTCAATGCCCATTTCTGTTTGAACGGGAAAACGCTCAGTGAAAGAACTTTCGGTTTCTTTAGCTCAATTAAGAGCTATTTGAACAGATACCTGCACTTCACTCGCCCGGAGTGATGATAATGATGATTCAAGTGCATTCTTCATTCGCTACTTGCCACTATGTTTTTTTTTACTATTATTTATATTTAGAAGCCATTCCAGATGCATTTCTTCCACTTCATCTGGCTGGTTGATAATTTAATAAAACGCCATAAGGACCTTAATTGAATTTAATGATTTCTAGGCGTTTCGTCGATAAATTAAAAATGATTATAGGCCATTGAGCGTTTGGTGTACGCACTCCGCCATGCAATTCGAGTGTACTGCACGTTTAGAGTCAATTATGGGCATAAATGATGAGTTATGGGTAGTAATGTGGATGGGTGATTAATGCATGATGATTACATTCCATTTCAACGTGGAAATCTATGGAAGGTGTATGTGCAATATTTCATTCAAATGCCTAATGCTGATGGAGGAAATAAAGGGAGTTTTGTATGCTCATTGCTTGCCTCTTATAAAATTCCTGTTAAGATTGGATATTTTAATCAATGTTCATTCCTGTCCTATCACAGAATTAAAAACATGTAGTTAATGCAACTAATTTATTTAATTAGCTAATGAGCTAACAGTAACAGCACGCGTAATGAATAAGAGATTGCTGGTCTATCTGTTCTGAAAGGCTTCAGTTACAAATCCTGCGATATAAATCTAAATGGGGTTAAAGTAAAATGAAAATACACCCTTGTTAACACGCAAACACCGCATATGTTCCTTAGTGATTATTTCAATGCTGTATGCATGTTGCTTTTTTGTACCGATGCAGTTTTAAAAACAATTTTTCAAAACACCCTATTGATTTTTAGCGAAAAAGAAAAAGTGCGGCCTAACGGCACAGTGTCAGTCTGATCTAATTTAAGGGTAAGACTTTGTTGACTTCTTTGTCTGCTTTTTTTGTTTAGCATAAAAATAGGGAAAGTGTTGTTCGTTTGATGGCGCTAAAGTGAGCAAGGTTTATTTGAAAAGGCTGCCCTTTATGGGAAACCAACGGGCAAATATAAAGGCATCCGATTCATATTTTTCATTTATACAATCCTATCGTCCACAAATTATTGTATTTTCCTTGAAACATTGGACACTGTTTAGCTTGAAAAAGGCTCTAAATGCTCTATATATCAATCATCTTGACCAGCTCCAGTAGAACTTTATAGGCATATTAAAACTGAGATTAAGTTAATTAAATAATGATTTAATTAAAGAGCTCCCGTTCAAAAAAGGCCGATTTTCTGATCGAACTGAAGCGTTCAGCTTTGGCTTTTTGCTTCAATAGAAAATGGTTGGTGGTTTTGAGCGAACCCCCTGTTACGTGAGCCGCACTTTTATTTACACCATCACCTTTTCTTTATTTGCTCCCCTTCAGTCGACATTCTGTAAAAGAAACTGGATCGTAGGTAGAAGCCGTTTTTGAAGGGTCAAAAAACCGATAAGAAATGGCTTTTTTTCCTCGGGGAAAATAAACATTAAATATTAACAACGACACTGTCTTTAGATGTTGGTTTGAGATGGAATCGTATTGATTCTTCTAATGCGATGGCTTGCTTTAGCTGAAGTCAATTTTTCTTGTTATCTGTACAAGACGATGCAGGAGGAAATGAAACAAAATTAACTGCACAGCCAAATTTGCCCAAACTTTGAAACTGGATAAATTGTGATTGCTTAGAGCGGTTTGGTTGATGTTTGAAGCGTTATTGAGCCCCATTTTTTCGTTGTTGGTCAATGTTTTGGTGAAAATTAAGCACCTCAGATAAATTTTCTAATGAGCGGCAAATAACAAATGTAAAAGTTTGGAAATTTGGGCATTGGATGACAAAGTTTTTTTGAATTCGACACCAAAAGTGCACAGATTAACCAAATAGCTCAAATAGGTTTTTGAATTTTTTGGCCACCTCTTCTATTTACAGGTTGGCTCAAAAAATTAACTTTTTGGTCTTGTAGCGATAACTTTTCTGCTCTTGGTCTGATTTTCGCCATCTGGAGCTCATGTTGAAGCTTAAACATCATAGACGATTTAAGACCAAAAAACAGACACAATTGATTAATCGCACTTTTTTCATCTGAATCGAATCTGAACTTATTTTGCCCATTTTGCCCATTCTGAATGCATTAGAAAAAAGCTGAAAAATACATTAACTACAGACAATTAGAATTGAATGATCCAAAAGTCAATAATCACTTTGATCAACAGTCTAATTGCCTTTGGCACCATTCCATCGCTTTCTTTATTTATCTTCAGCTGGAACCAAACAATCGTGTGCAATCCAGGCGACGTAGAATAAATATCCAAGCAGTTTTTGGAGGATTTTTCAAAACGCTCCTAGAGAAATGGGGGTTTTGCAACGCTCAAATTATGCTTGAAGGGATATTATTAAAATGTCACTCAACCAAAATGAATCCATAATGTACCCGGCTCGATAAAATGAACAGAACAGTAGGCCAATTAATCTCATGGGCCACGAAGCAATTTAGGTCTTGCGATGTAAACGGAAGGGGTGAAATTGGGTAACTTTGTTAACTAATCACCCCCCGGCATTCAGTTTCGGCCCAAAAGGCCAAAGAAGCACGTTTGATTGTCTATTTTATGAGTTGTGTAGCTATCAAGTCGACGGATTATTCCTAAAGGCTCAGCTTATCTGAAACTGTTACTGGTTTATTTTATTTCGCCTCCAGCATCAACCTTTTCTAGTGTCAGAATTTGCTGAGTTTGCACTTGTTGCCTCTTTGAGGGCCAAATTAAACCCAGCTAGTTGGATAACATGGCGAAACCGTCAGCTTAGTCATCGGAAAAGTTAATTTCGACCTCAACTAATTAAGGGTTTTTAATAAACGAAACGAAACAGGCCGTGGCAGATTTTCACTCTCGCTTCCGAAGTTTTCCCCGCCGTTTTCGAGGTATTGAAGAGCATCACTTTTGCAAACGAATTTCCACATGTAGATCAAGCCGTGGAAATAGAAAATGACTGGGAAATTGTCCGATTTGACTATTACTAACACAAAGCTGCAAATATTGCATATAAACATCATACAAAATCGATTCAGTTTGTTACTTCCTGAATAAATTAATGCAAAAACACCCTTATAAACTTATCGCAAACTTGACAATTTGTCATAAATTGCCTGGTGATGACTGAATATCGAAACTCTGTTCAGTTATGGACAATACTTTGCCCTAAAAAATGCATCCAAAATTGACTTCTTCGCTTTGCATGAAAACAGAGGAAATAAATGCTAAACTGCGGCCTGCACCATCAAACCAGACGTAATTTTGAAACATTTTTGAAAATTAACTGATGATGATGACCGAAAAAGCGCCTACTGCCTCTTTTATGGGCGAAAAAACTCGAAATGTTGTCTGAAGATAAAGAAAAGCAACTGAAAAGTGTTTTTCTGAAGATTATCTAAGACAATGCCATGCTGCATAAGCCAGCGTTTAGGGATTTTAGTGAATAAATATTGTGAAAAGTGGAATAAATTAATGAGCGTTTTATGCTGTCTTGAGACAAAAACTTCTAAGTTTTTTCGCTGATAATTGAGATTGAGACTTTTTCTCAGAAATGAAAAACCTAAGAATTATTCTTATGTGTTCTTCAGACCAAATCTTTTGAGTTGATCTGCAAAAAACGACTTCAGCCAAGACCACATAAGCCTGATCCCCAAAAACTTCAGATAAACTCCAAAATAAAGCCAGTAATTAAAATAATAAACTATACATTCTTGTTTTAAGTTTTCCATCCGCTTTCTCCATCTCTCTAACATCGTGAACGCATAATATGAGAAGTATCGGGATGGAAGCTTATTACACGCTCGGAATGCGTAAAACTTGGGGTAAAATGTTTTATTATTTAGCGGTGGCTGGTTGATGTGGTTTTGAAGATGCCAGCACACCCCCCTGAATAATTCAGTTAACAAGATGTTTCATGAGGAAAATTAGAAAATTTGAAATTGCCCATAATTTTCGGCGACTTGCTAAGTGTGTGGTTTTTGCAGATTTACACCGACTGGGCCAATCACTACTTGGAAAAATCCAGAAGCAAGAAAAGAGTCAGCTCTTTGGCGACGGACTGCAGCGACGGAGTCATTTTGGCCGAAGTGATTGAATCAGTTAGTAAGTATTTTGCAATTATTTAATACAAATTCCCAGCGAATGTAAACCATCACTAGTGTGGTTTGAGCTGAAACTTTGTTTTTGCCAATTCTACCCAGCGTCGCGAAAATGTGTCGCCTCCAACAAAAATGATTAATGGCCGAGCTCCTAAATCTTGTTTTTAATATAGTTGAACCCAACCAACGGTTACCCAGTCGTTTGATAAATTTAATTATTTATTTGCAACTGTTCCCATTTTTACAACCAGGACCCTGAAATGAAATTTGCTATTCTAAGCCATGCTGTGAGGCAGAACTGTTTATTTTCTTAAATAGTACGTAAAACTTATTCCAAAACCTTCATTATCCTTCAGATGATCCTTCAGCAGGAGTGTTTTAAACTGGTCGAAGATCACGCGAATAAATTCCAGAGGAAGCAAGCAATCAGTCCCAAGAAGCAAGTGGCATAGTTTTGGTACATAAAAGAGGCACCTCCATACGAATCATCTTGAATAGGGGTGTTGCTTACTTTTGTTGGATAGATGGGTTGGGAGGTAATTCCGCAAAGATTATATCCCTTTGCCATTCGAAAATAGCCATTTTCGCCCCATGTGGCGCCCCACGAATTTTTGATTATCCAGTATGGCAAGGTGGCATTTTCTTCGTATCCTACTACCAAACCTCCGTGATTTACCGTACTTGAACAGGCCGAAGGATTGAAAATTCCTTTCGAATAATATTGGAGAAGATCGGCATTTAACGCCACTGCAACAGGCCCTAAAACATTACGATCTGTTAAATATTTTGCCTGCGGTTTTTAGATTTGTTCCGCATATTTTCAAAAATCGAGTGGAGATTTTTTTACGGATAATACAAATATGAATCAGGAAACGCAAACCAGATCAAACTTCTAGTTTTTTCAATGGAACACTCTGTCTATTGCTGGAGATTCGGATTTGATTTCAAAGTCTGAGTAGATTCTATGTAATATAACTTATGCTTTCGTGAAACTCTCCGTTTTCCTTTCCGAGCTAGAAGCAATCAAAAATTGACTTTCTTCTGAAAGCCTGTATACTAATCTCAAACGGAAAAGTTAAAATTGTTCAGCTCCGTACCTGACTAGATTTGTGCACATATTTCAAGAAAAAATTGCCTCCTGATAGAAGTCTCTAGAGATTATTTCCAGGGGCGGATCCAGCTTTAAAGTCAATGGGGCTATCTAGAAAAAATACAGTCCTCTGTTATCTATGAAATTAGAAAAATGATCGTCGTTTTGTGCAAGGGTGGCGCAAGATTATTGCAAAATTTCATGTTTTCCGTCCCGTTTTGCAAGTTTCTCGGAA